GGGATAGAGGGCTCTGCAGGATGCGCAGATCCGGAGTGGTTGTTACTATGGTCGTTAATACATTGAATCTAAGCCATCAACTAGGAGCACTCTGCGTCAAAGACTTACTCCGGGCTGTCCATATCAACAGCGGGCTTTCCCTTTCGCCGAGATCTGGATGTGGTGTGGTTGTTATTGTTGGTGTTCGGAGGTGGAACGGCTTCGGGGATCTTTTGTCTCTTGGACCGTCGACCTGAAGACCCAGAGGGTGGTAATGCGTCGTTGGGGCTCTTCTCGGCGGCGAGCCCTTTTCGCTTGCGTGAGGACGGAGTAGTGGAGGGTACGGCCGGGACGTCAGCAGCGGCAGGAGCAATATTGCTAGTTTGGGCTGCCTGACTCGCTGCTTGACGAGCCGAAGATCTGGTGATTCTAGAAGACATAATTGTCGTGAGCTTGACGATACATCTGCGTTAAGGCAAATAATGGGGAAGATGTGAGAGATGATGTTGACGGATGTTGCACGGAAGATGGAGGGAGAAGAAGAAAGAGGAAGCACGAGTACGAGCCGTGGCTGAAAAAGTCAAATGCTTCAAAGACAGTGTTTGCTCTACAACAGCCTGGATTGTGGCCAAGGATGACAGAGCTTTGTCAATGCAGAAGGCTATTAAACAGCTATAGCTAGCTGCAAGATAGTTTTCGGGCCAACGTCAAAGGGTCTCAATGGACAAAAATAGCAGTTGACCAAAGACAGGCGTGCATGCGTGCAAGTTTCTTGGGAAGTGCGAAATCCGTTTTGTGGTTTCTTGTCTCGATGTGCGTGAATCAGCAACGTAGCAGAGCAGCCACGAGCCGAGCAGCGGCGGTGCTGGGATGACGAGGGTGTCTGTCCCGTTTGAGCGACGCAAAGAGCGGAGCGACAGGGTGAGTAACAGACAAGACGAGACGGAGACGGCGCAGGCGCAGGCGCAGCAGGCAGATGATACGAGGTGAAGAAATGAGAAAGTGAAGTGCAGTGATATGATGTGTAGTGAGGTGAAGCAGGCGTAGGCCTGTGCAGTGCAGTCGAGTGACAGTGGAGGTCAAGGATGAGGATGGATGGACAACAGACGGGGGAAGGATAAAAGGGTTGACCCTACCTATGGGCTGAAGAAGCGGCGGAAGCGGGAGAGAGATTGGCAGTTGAGGTTGTCGAGGTAGAAGGAAGTCGCACTTCGTTATCACCTGCCGATGTTCGTTCTGCCATGCCCAGACGACCTACGCCATCAGGAAGGCAGCGGGCAGGCGCGGGCGCGGCGGGGTCGTTGTTTCTCTCCGAAAGTCGAGAAGGCGATGAACTGATGACGAGAGCGATAGCGGGTTATCGATTAAGGTAAGGTAGTTACGGTGTAGAGATGATGTGGTCTAAGGATATGTTTCTGTGCTGCAGATGAGGCCAGACTTGAAGTTACAGAATAAAGTCTTGGAGAGAAATGCCACTCTGGAGGTGAGAATATGATGGGAGGAGGAGAAAGGTGAGTAGTGTTTTTGGGTTTCGGGTTTACAGATACGAGTCTTGTCTGGGGGGAGAAGAGGGAGGATGATGGCTCTTCAATTGGATGGATGTGGTGGTTGACGGACGGTCAAGTCGGGTTGACGTGTGTGAGCTGGTCGACTCCACTATCTGCGGCCCTGAGGACACTGGACACACGGCTCGAGGCGAAAAACACATGCAGCACTGATGAGTGCACGGAGTACGATGGACGTTTGCGATAAAGCTGGAGACTTGTCATGTAGTCCACGAACTCAAGGCACTGTGATTCTGTTGAGCCAGCCTTATCGACTGCAAACAAACATGCACTGTGCAGGCTCAGAGAGGGGGCTGAGGGGCCTCTGCTTCTAACATGACAAGATGGTCTTGAGCCGTTTCTGTTCACATTACGTGATGTAGCTATCATCCTTTTTAGTCATGATTGCTGTGATACATTGAATAGCCACACTCATGGGGTTCTCTTGGAAACGATTTAGTACTGGAATGATCTTCCGTGTATGAAAATACAGTCCAAAGTGATTCAACATCACGAAACAATATTATCAGGGTGCGACTTGAGATCCGTTCTCAGCATGTGGAGCGGCCCGCTTAGGTCCATAGTGGCGTTTATTATTATCATACCTTACCTTAGGCACTCAGTAAAACCCGCCGAAGAGGTCACGCTAATGAATGCGACAACCATCTCTTGGTAGCCATCAACATCGGATATTGCACGGCTGAATGGGCCAGGAGAGCCTCAAACTACTTTACTAAAATATGATGTCGTTTGATATATTGCTCGAAACCAAGGTCATCTGGTAGGCACACAACATATTACTAAGAAGAACCACAAACTGATGTCACTTATTACTATACACAAACTGGTTGAATTTTCACTGAACGTGATTAGAATATCATTCGAGATTTTTTTTTAATTTTGCATCGCTTGAGCTATTCATCGCCCCATTATAACTTCTATCTTATGGTTTCAAGCTATCTTTACCACCCTCAAACTCAGCAACATCATACTCTTCAGGATACTTATCCAGCATCTCCTTCAGCTCCTTCATCTGCGCCTTCAAATCATCTGTCAACTCTTCGTAGATATCCTCAAACATGCCCCGAATTGGGGGCTTCTTCTCCCGCTCTGCCTCACTGAACGCCTTCAATATCTCCTTGCGAAGATCACTGCGGGCCTCCTTCTCCTTGGCCTCGTCCCAGATACCCTTTGCTTCCATCCACTTTCGTAGTCGAGTGATAGGATTATCGCGACGCTTCCAGTCTTCGACTTCTACGCGCGCACGGTAGGCGAACGAGTCGTCTGATGTGCTGTGGTGAGAGACACGGTAGGTCATGGCTTCAATGAGAACTGGCTTGCCACCATCTTCAAGGGCCATCTCACGTGCCTTCTTTGTAGCTTCTCTGACAGCCCAGATATCGTTACCATCTATTCGGATTGTATCGATACCGTAGCCAATGCCACGGCTGGCGATACCGTCGCCACGGTATTGGTCTAGTGTAGGCGTTGAGATAGCATATCCGTTGTTTCTGCAGATAAAGATAACAGGGCACGATCGTGTTGCGGCAATATTGAGGGCAGCGTGGAAGTCTCCTTCACTAGCTGCACCCTCACCAAAGTACGCTGCAACCACACGAGCTTTGGAGCTGGGATCTTGAAGCTTTTGCATCTTTAGAGCATAAGCGGCACCGGAAGCCTGGGGAAGCTGTGTCGCTAATGGGGATGAAATTGAATGCTATGTCACAGTGTTAGTTCTGAAGCACCGGTGTCAACTCGCATCGTACTCACAATATTCAGCTCTTTGCTTCCGTAATGGACAGGCATACTTCGTCCTCGACTTGGGTCGTTCTTGTTACCAAATAACTGGCTCATGAAATCCTTGGCTGTAAACCCTCGCTCCTTAAACACGCCTTGTTCTCTGTATTGACAGAACATGACATCGTCTTTGTCGAGCACGCTTGAACTTCCAATGCTGACGGCTTCCTCGCCAGCACTGACCATATAGAAGCTCAATCGACCTTGTCTTTGCGCATCAAACATAATCAGATCCATGATTGATATGAAGACCATGTCTTTGTATAGACGAATAACCTCCTCATCGGAGATATCAGGTTTGAACGATTCATCCACCACAACTCCATGCTGGTCTACAACGCGATACGTCGATAAGGCAGGATACGACTCGGGATCTTCGAATTTGAGAGAGCTTGTGAATGCGCTCTTCAAAGCACCAGGAAAGGACACAAAATTGGAATTGGGCCGTTGCGATACACTGCTGGCTGATCGGATCGCAAGAGGTGTTACATGTGGTCTAGAAAGGATGGCCCGCCGCAGGGCGACTTGACGCAGAGCTCGAGACTTCATGATGTATGTGTATGTGGGTGCTTGGGGTTTCTGGGGGGGTTGGTTGGAATCTGGGCTATGTTTTCTTTTATTCAAATTGCTAAATGTCAATGGTATGCCAGATAGATAGTAAATCGTATTACCGAGGGGTTGTTGTGTCTGAGACCGCGAGGAAGCGACGTCATCCTGAGCCGACTCCAACCCGTGAAAGCCGAGACGGCGAGATAGTAATAAGCCGTGGTTTGACGATGTTCGGCATCCTCAGCCAGCATTTGTTTCCAGGGGTGTCTTGCTCATTCGGCAATTGGTTGACTTCCTTGTCAGACCTTGCACCGTACCTCCTGACTTGACCAACCATTCATCATGTCATGTTTGATGCCGGCCATGAAGCCTTAGCCCATGATAGCCATGAGGACCCCGACTTATCCCCCACACAAAGTTCTTATCGCTCTACCCCACACTCGCGATAAACTCCAGATCTCCATGGATGGATGGATCCAGTCCCAGCTCTAACGTTAGCATCTGGCATTTTTAAATGCAGCTGTCACCAGCTGCCAGTGAATCTCAACCACAGTCAACGTATAGTAATATGCACCGCGGCAACCAGTACATAGAATCACTGTCAAAATTGGCCGAGCATGCAGTTGAGGTAATAGACAAAATCTTCAACATCACACTTTCTAATCTCTGCACAACAACACCGTGAAAGACATCCTCAACAGGAACATCTAGTCTAACATTTCGAAACGACTCTCGATATGTCCGCCACTCCAGCAGTAGCCATCGCAATTGTATTCCTTACCCTCTTCGCAATTTTTGCACTCCTTGCTTGGTGGTTGAAAACCCGCGTGCGCACCTTCATTCAAGCCATCTTTAAGCACCGCCAGGAAAAGAACAAGGGTAATGCTTCAACCGCTGCCGACTCTGGGGAAAGCGTCTAACAAAGGTGAGATGAGATAATATCTCCATTGCCCTTCTTGATTGCCAGTTTCTCAAGTCGATATTGAGATCAATGTCAGCCACTGTGGCCACAAGGCTGGCGCGCCACGATTTCTGACCCACTGCAAAACTCCAACTCTCAGCCTCGTATGATTTTAGAACTGACCCTCAACCAGAGCTTCCCATAACCTCCGAGGCCCAACTACATTCACAATGGCCTCGCGCACAGCCCTCCGGGGCTTCTCCCGCACACTGAAACCCTCGAGATGCTCTCCTACTTTCGTCCGGCCGTTTTGCTCTACCAATGCCGTCCGTGGCGATAAATCAACCCCTACATCTGATCGACCTACCCACTTCGGATATGAGACTGTCACTGAAGCAGAAAAGCAGCAGCGTGTTGCTGGTGTATTTACAAGTGTCGCCGAATCCTACGATAAGATGAATGATTTCATGTCCCTGGGTATTCATCGTCTATGGAAGTGCGTTCAGTCTCTTTCAGTTATACTGCACGGTGTAACAAACTAACATCGAAACGTAGGGACTACTTTATCTCTTCCCTCAACCCTGGTGCTACGAATCCCCCCGGTCAACCTCAGCGCATTCTCGACGTTGCTGGCGGAACTGGCGATATCGCTTTCCGACACCTTCAGCACGCCCACGAGTTCAACTGCAACCCTAATGTCTCCGTTATTATCTCCGATATCAACCCCGATATGCTAGCAGTTGGTCGCCAGCGTTCTCTTGCACTCCCCGCGTCCCACCAATCCGCCCTCTCTTTTCTCGAGGCAAACGCCGAAGTCCTCCCCTCTCAGATTGAGGATAACTCGCTCGATCTTTACACAGTTGCCTTCGGTATTCGCAATTTCTCCAACATCCCTGCTGCTTTGAAGGAAGCCCATCGCGTTTTGAAGCCTGGCGGTGTGTTTGCCTGCCTTGAGTTCTCAAAGGTTGACAAGCACCCCATTTTCAACACTATCTATAAGCAGTGGTCCTTTAAGGGCATTCCTCTAATCGGTCAACTAGTGGCAGGGGACCGCGACAGCTACCAGTATTTGGTCGAGAGTATTGAGAGATTTCCCAGCCAGACCGCGTTCAGAAACATGATCAAGGATGCAGGCTTCGTAGTTGCTGGAGAAGGCTACGAAGACCTGACTGGCGGCATTGCTGCTATTCACAAGGGCATGAAGCCTGTATGAAGTGACTAAAGGATACGCATGTAATTTAGTCTGTAAAATAGTCCATCAATCACGATCAGCATCACGAATAGTCAATCAGAGTCTAGCATTGTACAATAGGAAGTTCATTCATTCCAAATCATCAACCTACTCCCCTAATCCAGCTTCCGTGAACGTCATCATCACATCCACGTCTCCGAAATGCTTTCCAGGGCCCAGAACGATGTTTTTTTAATTCTCTTCACAACTGAACTCCATACAGGTCAAAACTAAAGAAGCCGTACCCTCGATGTCAAGGATTTTCGACTCCGAAATCTCATTAGGTACACGATACATGAAAACGAGGCCGGTGAGATATCCTCGCTTTTCCTGTTGCTTAAGCCCCTATCAGATCAGATCAAGGCGTAACAAGCAGGTGATGCCCAAAAAAAAAAGCAGGCAAAGATAATAAGAGGCGCATGGAAAGGACCAAGGCCTCAGAACGGTTGTGTAGTGACACTCAAATTTTGAGTATGATATTAATCGGCGGCGGGTGTGGCGGGAGCGGCGGCAGGTGAAGAGGTGCCTGTCTCGCCCTTGAGGCCTCCTCGACCACGTCCACCCCGTCCACGATCTCCACCACGACCGCGACCACCTCGTCCACCGCGTCGATTAGATTCGGAATCACTGGCTCCTCCAGCGCTACGATATCCACTGGTGTTAGTGGCACCGCCGCGTCCGCTGGCACCCCAGTTACCAGCACCACCTCGGTTGGCATATGTCTTGCCCTCGCGATGTTGGAAGATCTTGACCAGAGGCTTGGATCGATCCTCCTGGGTTCTAGTCTTGACATCCTCAGGAAGTCTGGCCAAAGCAGCATCACGGTCCTCTGTTGTCTTAAACTGAACAACCTTGTTTGAATTACCCCACTTGTCAACCTTGAGAATCTTGTTCTTGTCCTCCTCGCTGAACAGATCTCGGCACTGATCCTCGGTGTTGACATTCATAATGAAAAGACCGATGATGTCCGAGGCAGGTGTCTTGGGAGCGGGAGAAGAAACACGCTCAGGGTGCGCTGAACCGTTAGCTGGAGCGGAAGCCGGAGCTGTGGCCTTCTCGGTGTCTTTGCTGGGCGGGGCGGGAGCAGGACTGTTCGAGCTTGGGGCAGGTTGGGGAGTCGCTGGCTTGGGTGGGCCGGGCAGAGGAGTTGCGACAGCAGGCTTAGCAGCCTGGACTGTTGAGGGCTGTCGGCTGGTAGGAGGGGGCACACTGGACTGGGTCGAGGGAGGGGCAGGTGAAGGAATACCAGCTGGGCCAGCTGTGGTGGGAGGAAGTCCGGGCTGCTGCTTGGCGCCACGGTGAGAGAAGTTGAAGCCTTGAGCACGCATCTCAGTACCAATACGGCCATCCTGAATCTCGAGGACCAGGTAGCCAAAGGCCGCATCAGCAAGGTTAAAGTTCCACATATTCTTGAAGGCACTCTCGTCGACTTGTCCGAGGGAAGCCTGGCCAGCAGCCGGGCCGCCGAAGGGGTTACCGCCAGCAGCAGTGGTTGGCATCTTCTCGACGATTTGCAGAGCATTCTTCAGAAGGTTCTGTTGGGCCTCATTCTGTTGAATAGCAGGTTCCACTTCACTCTTGACAGTCTCCCAGACGTCGTTGAAAGAAGCCTTGGAGGCAGCAAGCTTGCCACGGTAATGGTCGAGAGTAGGGTTGACGCTGAACTCATTGTAAGAGCTACCATATCGGAAGTGGAGTCCGGCAGAGATAGAGAAGTCGGCCTTGAGAGTAACTGAGAGCTGGTTCAAGATACCCTCACGAGCAGGAGACGCATGTGTGATAAAGATGCGGGTTTCGGTAGGATCGTAAACTCGGTGCGCCGTGTCGACAAGCTCACCCATTTGCAGGAGAGTTGTCCACATAGTGCCCTGACCACCAGCAATGGTGGTACGGCCTTCGCCATTATCAAAAAGCTTATGCATGACAACGGCACCACCAAGACCAAGTAGCCGCAACTTGACACCGCCAACCTCCAGTAGCATTGATCGAGCCTCGTCGATGATGTGCAGGTTTGGGACCTTGTACTCGCCGGTTCGGAACTTCTCTAGTACTCGGACATCTTCGCAAGCACCCCAGACGGTATAGACGGGAACATCAAGCTTAACCTCACCGCTGATAAGGAGAGGCAGCTCCGAGAGAGGAAGCTCATTTGGCGGAAATCGGGACTTTACGGGGCCTGGTCCTCCTTGCTGAATAGCCTTCTTTACAGGCTCAGAAATCAAGGGCGAATACTGCGCAACATGCTTAAGCGTCTTCTCGGCGATTCGTTCCAGGGAAGTGTCGTCGTAGAAACCAAAATCACCGGTGTGGATGATATGGTCGGCTCGGGCTTGTTTCGCAAGATCATTGAGTGATCTCAGGTTTCCTATATGGTGTTCAGCGTTCGTCCGACTACGTCACCCATATTTACCAACCTCGAACATCGGCAATACACAGAACTCTTAGAGGACCGGTTTGAAGGACACGACCCTGGTTGGGCAAAAGTGGTGCAGCACCAGTGGGAGGAAGACCACCAGCACCGTTCTGAAGGTAGCCTGGACCCGGGTTGTTGTATGCTCGCGGCTATTAGGGATGTGTTAGCTAATGTCTTCTTCAAAGTGGCCGACTGCGCAGTCGGGGTAATCGCATTTTTGTGGAAGTGCATATGAACGTGGAGTTGCGGATCTCGAAGTTGAGGCCATCTAACGGGGCGCAACGGCGGGACAACACGCGAGCGGGGAGAAGGCGGGCATGGGATTAAGGCAACACGGAGAATGCGAGAGAAGCAGAAATGGCCATGGGGTATCTTGCAAGGTGTTGCAATAATGCGAACTTATGCTCGCATGTGGAAAGCCGTGAACAGTGCGAGGGAGATGGGCAAATAGCGGATAATAGAAGGGGCCATGTCATGGGGAGAGCACTCACAGCAGCCATTCTATCAATCAACTGATTCTATGCGCTCGAAGTCGGTCGGAGATTCGCGTGTTCGGATAATCGCGTGGGCGGTGAGAAAGGATGCTCTGATAATGAGATAGAGCTCCCGGAAGAGGATGAATGGGTATCAAAAGAGGTGACGATGTGGAATGGAAGACAGGGAGGCAATCACGGGGAGGTGGATTTTCGTAGCTGTAGCAAGGCTACCTCAGAGGTAGAGATAATTTCTAGGTGGCCCCAAGAATCGGGAGTCAAAGGCTTTACCTCTTTCGGACTAGCCGCATCAGCTTCACCTCTGACGAGATGCCTGTCCGCCTCGAGGAGTTATTTGGGCCTAGACCAGGGGAAGCTCTTTCAGTGATGCTCTCTAAACGGTTAATGGTCGGCAATCGTAGAGTCGACCGTTTGAGATCGAGTTCTTGTCACCGTTTTGCTTTGGAAGCTCCTTACCCTGCACAAACAATACAACCTGAAGTCCAGGAAAACAGAAATCCACGGCAACGAGAAGGACGTCATACTTTCTCTCATCATTGCCTGTAGATGGATTTCTAACTCTCAATACTGATTTCTCCAAAGTATCTCACTTCACTAACCTGTCCCGGGATCATAGCTCTCTATTCAATTCACTGATTGTTTAAGCCAAGGCTTTGTGAAGACCAAGCATTAATTCTCCTATCTACTAACCTTGGGTATCTGATACAGAGAGCCACTCAACCAAGCCGATTCCTAACGTTTACTCTTTATATTAAAAAGCTACGGAAACCGTCCTCATATGTCGAGTCCAATGGAGAGTCCCGCCTGACAATCAGGTTCAGTCACACAATCATCCACACCTGGGTTCATGCAGAATAACAATACTGGCTTATGTTTCAATTTCCTTTACCTGAAGCTTGAAGTAGCAGGTGAGAGAGAACATAATATTCCTTGCTTATCGCCAGAGAATAGGTGAAGTGACAATGCGAGTTTACCATTAGCGGTTGAGTAGCCTCAGGGACCGATAGAACTTCAGTTGTTGAACTAAGGGGCTATAACCACTGGTCTAAAGGCTTGTCAATATATACTAAGCTTAACCTGGTCTTTTAGTCCATTAACATAGAGATTCTAAGTTTTGTTGCCTCCCATAGAATCGGGATCTCGCAGTACCTACCAAGTTAAGAGTGTCAGTTATATGAAATTACGTTCTACCTATGTGTGGGTTTAAGATATTATCAAGCTGCTCTGTAGACAATCACATACAAAGATCATTAAGGAGGCGAGCTTAAGCAATGGAAACTGCAAGCCAAAAAAGTTTGGCAACGAATGCTTCAGTGCTTGATGTCCCTTTGATGCTCCTTTCAGATGAAGGAGATCTTTGACGGTGCAGAGTGATGCCTACGTCCGAGTCGTCACAACCCTCCCCGCATGATTTGAGTAGGTACTCCATTCATCTATCTCCCTTCTTGTTTGATACGTAATAACTTCAGCGGGGTAGACTTGCCCTTGGGGTAATGGTGTTTGGAGTTCCGATGCAACTATGTTTACCTTGAATTTGATACGAATTACAAATGGACGAATTCCCTACCGATGCTGTAAAATTCTACCACAGAAACCCAGGAACTCCTACCAAGCAGGAATAAACCATATGGTAAACCACATCTTCATACGAAGATACAGAAAGAAGCATGGGTCTGGCCTTGGCTCTTAGGTATCATAGCTTTGTGCTGATCTGAGACAAGGATAACACGCACATGCGACCGATCATGCGGTCATCAAGCACTCTATCTATTACAGGAAACAAACAACAAATGGACGATGGATTGCTCTAGAGAAACGAAACAAACTTCGAGAAGAGTATGCTCAAGTTACACAGCCATCAGATTATAAACCAGGGAAAATTATTAGGCTTCAACGAAGCAGAAAACTGAAGTAACGCACTTCTGTCTACCTATGAGTATAAATGCTGATGAAGTACAGGCACTTTGGACTTATGTACTAATTTGGCATTCTTAAGTAACTCAACTGTTTTCCTGTTGTTATAAGTCCATATTCATATTGGCTGAGGTTGGTATACATTTCTTGCGAGGTTGGTCTTCAGTGATTGTTACTATACAGTTGACTAATCGGCGTTTCCCTGCCTCGATACCCTTCCTACTAGGTATCAAGTAGCCGATTTACGTAGACTTTACATTTAATACGTTACTGACGAGAACCTCTTATTCAGGTTATTGGAATGTCGTTCCTCTACTATATGATCTGTTTCACCTAATGGTAATACGAACATTGGCATGTCCAGACAATACACAAGACATGAAGCCCAATGTGCATGTGCAGTCTGTTTCACTGATGGATAATTATAGCTCACGCTAAAAGCTCATTACGCGAAGAATGATCCAAACCAGGACTCAACTGTGTCATTTGGTATGTGTTGAATGAAGTGTTGTTCGTGTTGTCTGGAGCATACAGCCATGCCACAAAAGACATTCCTCACAGGACAAAACGACCGCGATTATTCGGTCCTGTTACCATGGCACCCCCTCAATGATATTAGCCGCTACGTTATGTGATATTCACCATCCATCACAGCAAGTAGGTTGCCATGCGCACTGCAAACGTGACAAGACCGTCCTTTCGGACATGAGAAACCCTTTATTAACCCGGCCAAGAAGATAATGAGCTTGTCTGTCGGTTTCATTCAGGGCAAGCAAGGATGGACCCTTTTTCAGGGCTCTTTACTCCTGGTTTTGATTCGAGGGATTGGAGGGGACATTGCCAGCCCAGCACAGACGTTCAGCGAGTTAGAAACTCAAAGCAAGGCTTGATGGACGCATCCATAATGACTAGGCAACTTGGGTACCTGACACATGATTTATCAATCATGCACAGCTGTCTGGTTAGCACAGATTTCTGACAGGAAGCCGTGTTGTATGCTTATTCTTAGAATACATACTACTAATCTTCGAGATACTTTCCGCCCAGAGTTATAGTGTCCATGAATAGATGGCCACCTCAACTCTGTTCCAGCAACTCACAGGGGCCAACGGCACTGAACCACCCCGACGGGCGCCAACTTTAGTGTGAGATAGCGCTGTGATACAGTGGAACAGCGCCTGATGACCCGCTGTAAGCGCCTTCACCACGTGACCTACCTTGACACGTCTCATGCCCCGGTCTAAGTACCGTCACCCTTTGATTGCATGTACCTACCCTTACCAGGGCTACCCAACTTGTATCTCGCCTTGGGCCTTGGACGAACCTCTTCTTTCTGTCTCCCTTGATTTGAGTCTTTGTCTATTTCAAAGAAACAGCCACAACCTCCTACCAGTCCCTCCACGATCATATCACCCGAAACGATTCAAATAGACGATACCACCCCCACCAAGATACGATACTGGACACTAGGAACCCTTGACGGACGACATACAGATCAGCGGCTCGTCCTCACATCCTCCCCATGCGACAACAGACTTGACGAGAACGCCGTCGCAGGAGGTGACCAAACCTCTCACCCCTTCTAGCCACAGACGTTCCATTCCTTTGCGCCGCTAGTACCGTGGTGCACTAAGGCCCATGATAACGTAGATTCGACATTCAACATCGTTTCAATAGACAAGCCGGGATACCGCACACAGGCAATCGTGGGCGTGCAAGCCTCCGTTGAGGCCCACCCAGCCGTCGATGATGGTACGTCAATATTCACCTTCATCGAATGTTTGTTTCTCTATATGGAACACGCAATTATGCGCAGTTTGTATAATTGCGCTCTTTTGTTCATATCGTCACGGCTTTCTCTGTTTGTCGCCACCCATGCTGATCCTAGGTTGTTGTATGTATAGACATCATCTCGACCCCGCGGCGATGTTGGCGGCAGTTTTGCCAGCAGACGCGGCCATTCCAGTCAACTTTCGATTTCTGATCCAAGCCATCATGTCACCGAGGCTATTGGTACTCTGTATGGCGATGAGGACGATTCAGGATCAGAAAGTGGCCGACCGTTGAGTGTAAATCGCCCACTGAGCTTCATAGGCGGCCCGACACCTTACCAAGAATCGCTGCCTCGACCACCACCAGATGACCGATTTCTGTCTGTAGACACACGAAGAGGACTTAAGCGAACCGATTCCGAATCGTCCGCCGGCGAGACATCACCTGTTAATGGCGACCCGACCAAACGCCCTCAACCACTTTCACAAGGCCAGCGAAGTAACTCATTTGAACAAGGACCAAAATCACCGTTATCTCCCACGCTTTCACTTCGCGATGTTCAGGCCGACTCGCAATTTTCTCTCACGAACATTGATAATCCGAATGACATCGCTCAGGAGTTGAGTAACTTACAGGCCCTCAGGCGGCTGTCGATGGATGTTGGAAACAACAAGGATCCTGATATGCCACCCATGTCTTTAATGGCTATGCCGACTATAGCACCAAGTGGTGACGACGATGAGAACGACCCTTCAAGACTTCTTTGGGTACCCGCTAGAGTACATCCAGAGTTGGCTCCCGGCGAGTTCAAGTCGTTTCTTGAAAACAGGGTGCATTCGATAAGACGAAGATCTGGAGACTCTTTTCTATCTGCCGATACCGATACCAGTGAAGGCGACTCGGGAGCTGGGGGCCTAAGAAGAAAAAAGTCCATGCTGTCACGACAAATAGACAACTCAGGAGAAGGCGGTGCTCTCGGTTACGTCGATGGTGCTGAGCGATTAGATCGAAGACGCTCCCGGGGCCACAGCCATGAACTCAGTCTGGAAGAACTCGTCAAAGATCCCACGAAAGCCGTGCAGAAATTTGCTCAAGAATCTCAAGTGGCACCCTCTGGACCTGAGAGCAATGCAGACGATATGCCAATTCTGCCTGCTGCCCCAGGTATGGGACTGCGGAGGTCAACCCGAACAACATATCGCAAGGGCGGTAGTCTACGTACTGGACCACTGGCTCGACGGTCTGGACATAGACAACAACCTAGTGAGGATTCGAATTTTGCTCCTCTGGAAGCACCACCCGGTCACGGTCTTACGCGAGTCCAGTCGGAGCCTGTGGCAGACAACTACTCCCAACAAAATCGCGCGGTCAAGCGATCACACAAGTTCTCTCAGGAGTCAGTGGAAGATTTCGATTCATATGATGAAACAAGGCAAGGGGCCAACAACAGCGAGCTCAAACGTGCAGAGACATTTCAAGATCAGCTACCTATCCGATCTTCACCGAGTCTTCCAACGATTGAGACCTCGACTTACCAAGACGCTCGCGATCAGCATGAACAGAAGTTTCCAAAACGGTCATCATCCCAAAACGCAAAGACTCACCCTGTTTCTCAAAGAATGTCGGAACCCGAACCCGTGATAGAGGAAGAACCTAGCCGTCCAAGTCGACGAAGCATTGGCCGACAGCCTGCGTCTCAGTCCCCACAACAGCAACATACCTCTCGATCATCATATCCCCAAAGCCAGTCCTTAAACGATAATCTTGCGGCAAACCCTTCACTACTTCCTGGAAGCGGCTCATCGCGAACTGATAGCCTCACTTTCATACCAACACTGAACCAGGATGAGCGAAAACCCGAAAAGAAATCGAAGAAGGACCGAGACGACGATTCAAGTTCGACCAAGTCTTCCGGAAGCGCCTGGAAATGGTTCAAGAGTACAAGTGATGATAAAGAAAAGAAGAAAGAAGAGAGTAAGAAGTCCAAGACCAAATCACTCGGCGAAAGAGTTCAAGACAACGTACGGTTAGATGTTATTCAAACATCAATTGATAAAAATGCACCCAAGGGCCGTGAGAGTCTGGTCCTTGACCGTGACAACGTGGAAAGCAAGTTGCAGGAAGAACGAAAGAAGGAGAGCCACCGCAAGAGTGATTCCAAGAGGGACAAGGATGGTAGTATCTTCTCTTCCATCTTCGGTGGAAGTAAGAAGAAGGAGGAGAAAGAGCGAAATGCGAAGAAGACACAACACCTCAAGGTTCCTGAGGAGCCAGTATATAAGCCCCTAGTTCCAGATGTGGATTACCACTGGACAAGATTTCCTCTTCTCGAGGAGAGAGCGATATATCGAATGGCTCATATCAAGTTGGCCAACCCCCGTCGGCCCTTGCTCAGCCAAGTTCTACTGAGCAACTTCATGTACAGTTACCTGGCTATAGTTCAGGCGATGCATCCTCAAATGAACGTGCCCATTTCGCCACAACAAAAACGTTTGGAGGAAGAAGCTCGACGGAAGCAACAAGAGCAGGAATATCTGGCTCAACAGCAAATGCGGGAAGAGCAAGATGCCCAAGAAGCCATGGATCAATACGACTTCGATTATCATCGGGTAAGAGATTCTCAGACAATTATGTAAACAACCTTGCTAATTTCAACCACAGGCCGCGGTACAATACGGCGAGTCTGGTAACGGAGAGGTTGATTATGTTGACGATGCTCAGATTTATGAGGATGAGCATGGCACAGATCACCACCAAGACTATGGCTACGACGATCCAGAAGGGTACGGACCAGGATCCAAGGAATACTACCATCAGTACCATGACAACGAGAACGATCGTCGGCAGGATGGGCGAGAGGATATGTGGTAACAGGCCGAGTAGTTGTGCAAAGCTCATTCGCAGAGTTGATTATTATATATGTTAATGTTTTTATCATCACAAACTATCACTAGCTGCCGGGGCAAGTGCCTCAGACAGCGTGCAGCGTTTTCAATCAGCCCTAGCATATGGCGGAGTTCTGGAAGACGAGCGCACGAGGGCGTAACAGGCTTGCAAACATACACTTCTAATTTCCTTTTCTCCTTTGTGAAAGAAGAATGGCTACGAGACTGGCATGGAGACAATCTTGTGTGAGCCTCTCTTGGTCTTCCTGTTTTCCCCTGCGCTGTCAGTCTTTGCAATGTATGGTGGAGTTATTTGTTGTTGGAGCACCGGGATGAGCGTTTATCTTTGAAGAAGCGACGGACTGTCTGGCATGGGAGGAGAAAATAGCTCGCTTTCCTTGGGAGATCAATACTCAAGGTGCTGGACATATATGTCTTGGAACTGTTGTTGTTGATGGTGTCGTCAACAACGATCAAGAACAGCATGAGGTATGAAGCTGTAGGATATGATCTAATAGAGATAGAACTGCTAGTATATGATGTTGGAAGCGTCCTTGAGCATGGTTAAATGTAATGCGAAGCAGTTCGTCCTGTCAACTATGCGCACTTTATTGTTTAATGATATTTTACATCCGTTTAACACAAGAAAGATTTATACGTGCCTTGCTAACTGACGTCTTCCTCAAATTTCCGCCAGTGAAGTGCTTCATTTACTACTAGCCAGAAGTCAAATCAGAATGGACCCTAAGTATGATCAGATAGGTGCTCATAAATCAGGGGGGCGGCGCTTACATGGCCCACAGAGCGAAGAGAGGACTGCTTCAACTATCTGTCTACGTAGGACAATGACGAATGCCTCGTAATCGAACCCAAGTTCTATTCTTGTTTATATGCAAACACATATTATGCAGCTTTGAGGCCCAGGGCGACTTCAAGGCACCTTCTTCTGTCCTGATCTTGCGATTGGTTCGGTAGTCAGGCTGATGGTTTCCTAAAGCGGCCAGTTGAAGAAACAAGGGTTGTTCAGAATGCCGATGGGAGAAGTATCGTGTTTGAGTCACTGGGTCCATATCGTATGGTGATAAACTCAAACCGTCTCAGAGTTTACAGCATGTGGTTGAAGTTTATTTACAACGCTCCACCGTTGTGGCTCTCAGCCCAAAACGGCCCAACAGGAACAACCTTGGCATCTGCATTATCTGTGTCATGCGATATGGTGTTGATAACTTGACTCCATACACGGAGCAGACCAACACCAGGAATAATAGACAAATAGTGACGCGGGTCAAATGAGCGACTGTGGGTTCATTGCTCCAACTCCAATCCCAATCCCAACATTTTTGCTCCTTACTCCTGACTCCTTGGCGGCAAATGGCGTTGGTGGAGGCAAAACTGTTCCAAGAATTCGTCATGAGCGTTCTCACTTTTTCGTTCAGCTGGAAAAAATAAAGTCTAGAAAAGCATAAAGAAGTCGATCTATTCCCAAGGAGAGGCATTTTCGGCATGTTAAGGAATGTTGCATTGCGCGTTGATATAATAAAGTTGCGGCTTGTAGACTATCGGCCGAGTCTAACGAACGGCACGGCTGGGTAGGAAGGTAATATTGTACATCCTGTGAATGACCAGGCGAAAAGAAGAAGAAAATCAAAGTTTCATTGCCCGTAAGTGAAGAAACACCCTTTCCAATTGCGGTCCCAATAACTCATCGTACATGCAGATACCGTAGACAATCTCTTATTCGGGTGTAGGTAAGATCGAACCATGGTCCAAGCTCAAATCCTGATGGCTTGGCTGTAAGGGGTAGCGAGAAGACGACATCATTGATGGAGTCTTTGGCGTCAAGTTCATTCTAGCACTGCTGCCGGTCCTGATGTGCTGTCTCGGCGTAGTTTGTTGTTGAGTCCGTTGAACAGGCGGCCTATTGACTCCTTTCGTCCTCTTCGGGGAACTCTTTCTGTGACAAGCGAGTCGACACGGTCCATGGCATCAATGAAGATGTGGAAGTCGACATCATCTTCGTAGCTGAGGTTCTCATCGCGTAGAGACATGTACTCCAATTCGTGATGGCTGAGAGTACTCTCATTTGATGCTGTTGATGAGGTTCTCCTCGATTTGATAGGGCTGCTGGCTGCACTGTTGGTCTGACTGGACATGATTGGTTGAAGGAGTGAAGTAAGAAAATGTGTTTCAGATTGATTGTGTATGTAGATGGCTCGGAAACAACAGTGAATTGAAGATTAATAGTGGTTTGAAGATTGAGTATGAAAGAAGGAAGTTAATTGAGCAGGGGGGAGAGCTCTAGGTATATAAATTATACTTCGTTATGCTTTTTATGGGGAGGGGGGGAACGGAATAGTAGACTAGAATACGAATCTATCGAGGAGCCGCATATAATATGATGAAAGCTGACATGTCGTGCTTCCTCGGAGAGCGCAATGGCAAATCAGTCTAAGATTGTCAGCTTCGCTTCCTAAAGTAGTGCCAATCAGTTCCTTGCCCGCACCCAGGGGACGTGACGGGTTCCCGGACCACATGTAACGCTATCAACAGGCGCATTCCTCGACACTGTCAGTTATCAGCCAGCGGTGTACACCACCCATTTTCACACGTTGGGCGATACTGTCAAGTTAGCGCCTTGCGTGCGTATCTGTTATGACACTATGGATGACGACTGCACCACCAAAATAGATGGGCGGATATACGGGTTGGATTGGATGGATGCTAAAACCAGGTAATATTTCTAACAAATGACATTGGATCTTATACAGCTTGGGGTGAACATGGACCCTTTTATTTCTTCGGCTCCTCCTTCTTCTCCTCAGGCTTAGGCGTTGGCAGCTTGAAAGACTCGGGTGTGCGGTCCAGTCCGGCTCCAACGGGCTCCCACGCACTGGAACCACCCTCAAAGTTACGGAAGGCCTGGGTGAGCTCCAGAGGCTCGGTGACGATACGCTTCTTCTCCTCATCGTATCGGATCTCAGTGTAACCAGTCAAGGGGAAGTCCTTTCGCAGAGGGTGACCCTCGAAACCATAATCGGTCATGATTCGTCGGAGATCGGGGTGACCGGCAAAGAAGACACCGAAAAGGTCGTACACCTCTCGTTCGTACCAGTTGGCACCATCAAAGAGTCCGGTAACACTGGGGACAGGAGAAGCCTCATCGGCGTAGGTCTTGACACGAATTCGAGAGTTGTGACGGACCGAAAGAAGGTTGTAGACGATTTCGAAACGGTTCTCGCGCGTGGGGTAATCCGCAGCAGTGATAGTGCTAACCTGGGTAAACTCAGCGGCAGTGTTGTCTGTCAGGTTTTAGCAGTTGCCTCGTAGCCAATTGACATGTTACTAACATTTCAAGAAGCTGAAGACAGGGTAGACACCCGAGGGGGAGATATAGATAGTAAGTTCGTCCTTCCAGACAGAGAACTGCTGGATGTACTTGGGCAGAGTACCCATCAACCAGGCACCATAACGGTGCATGTTGTCGGACTTGCTCTGATATTTGTCGGCAGGGTTGACGATCGGGGCCTTCAGGACGCTGGGGTGATCTCGGGGGGCCTTTCGCAGGTTGGGAGACTCCTTCGGCATTGCGACATATTGACGGGCAGTGCTGGACAAGCAACGGATTGCTTGGTCGTTACGGAGCTGGACGGAGGGCTTCGCGGGTCGTAGAGCGGAGGCCAACGCCCTGCTTCGAGAAATGCTTGTCGCCATGGCCGGTTGTGTGACGATTCGAGGCCAATTGGCGATGCAAGATGTCGTCGAGACGAAATACCTTACGGTGTTGGTAATGATGCCGCAAGCATTGGCTCGAGAATCTTAGCGGCAGAGGCGTGAATGAGATTTCCCGTACTTGAGCCGACAATAACGCTATACTTCGCCTCCAGTGCTTCTACCACGCAGAGCCAGGTACCCCACTATTTTACGTGTCCTTTGTCGACCTTCAATGACGAAGATGCCCACACGTGATTCGAGCTGGAAAGCTAGACCGAGAATAGCTTAGCTGTATTTTCATCTTTCACTTTCCCGCAGCCTCGATGCATACCAAACATCGTTCTCTCCTTGTACTCACATATCCATTTCCGCCCGTCGCATCTCGAACTTACTATTTCTTGCCTTTCACCTTAATTATAACTTCTCACAATGGCGCCACAAGATTCATTCATAGAAGATGAGGAGGATACCTGGTATGCTTCACCGCCCGCCTGGGGGGTGGCGCTTGCACCGCACTGCTCCTTGGGTAATGTTTGGTACCCAAAGCTGACCTATTGATAGCCCTCTCTGCATCGAAGAGTTTGATCTTTCGGATAGGAATTTCAGACCTTGTCCTTGTGGATACCAGGTATGACAAGAATAATATCTTGACAGCCAAGCTTGACCTTCCGGCCACGTTTGCTAACTTTGAGGTTATAGGTGTGCCAGTTTTGCTTTAACAACATCAAGAATAATATGAACGGCCTTTGCCCTGCTTGCCGACGACCTTACGACGAAAAAACCATACAGTGGAAAGTTGTTACGCAAGAAGAGTATGACAAACCCTCTGCCACCATGGTGCTGTGCTGACCAACCCTCAAGAGTCGCCGAGTTTCGGGCCAATATTCAAAAGAACCAAAAGAAGCGAGCTCTGGATCAACGACAAAAAGAACTACAGAAACGCGAAGCCGAAAAGGAGAACCGTAAGAATCTGATCGGCGTTCGTGTTGTCCAAAAGAACTTGGTCTATATCACGGGTCTTGCACCGACAGTTCGAGAGGACGAACTTCTCAAGACGCTACGAAAGCCCGAGTTCTTCGGCCAGTACGGAAACATCCAAAAGATATCCATTAGTAACCGAAAGAGCTCTGATGGCCAACATCAGTCGCTTGGCATTTACGTGACCTTCGAACGTCCGGAAGAAGCGACGCGATGCATCCAAGCTGTGCACGGATCCCACAACGGTGATCGAGTCCTGAAGGCGCAGCACGGCACGACGAAATACTGTTCAGCTTGGTTGAAGAATGAAAAATGCGGCAATCCTGGTTGCATGTTCTTGCATGAACAAGGCGATGAGGAGGACAGTTACTCACGACAAGATTTGTCCTCTATGAACAGTATAGGGTCTCAACGGCCTCTCCCGGGAGGCAGTTCGCGGTCGGCTTCCCGACAACAGATATCTCATCCTACGCCGCCCCCCGTCGTATCCCATCCGATGACGCGCTCCATTAGTAAAGAGGGTTCTGAGAATGGTGCCGATGGATCAGCTCTACCTTCCTCAGCCAACTGGGCCCGCAATCCACAGCGAAGTCGCAGAGGCAGTCTTGCTACTAGTGGTGCTGCTTCCAGCCCTGCTATTTCAACAGCCCAGCCTGTCACCGCCGAGCCTGTACCAGAAGAAGCAGCCGAGGAGGAAGACGAGGATGAGTTGGAGGAAGAGGAACCTCAGCAATCGGTGCCAGTTGCTGGACCGTCATCATCTAGGACCCGGGAGCCTGGATCACCCGCACAAGCTCAAGAGTCACCTGATACATGGCTTAAGGAGATTTACAAGACTTTGCAAAGTTGTCCCATGCCTATCTTTCCTGACTTTGACGAAGACCAATACCCACCTATGTTCGATCCTCGTGGTGGTGAGAAGCGCCGGGCTATGCGAGAAGAGGAGGATTCACGTTTGACCGGAGAACAGGAAGAGCAACCCGAGGTTCGTGAGCCATCAGAAGGAGAACCTGAGACCGGTGGCAGCCTTGCTCTTGGAGGAGAGCCTGAGGACCGTGACACTTCTAGCGACAACCGAGGTTTCGATCGCCGACCTAGTACTCAGCCTCCTATTCAGCGACTTTCTACTGACGGCCTCTTTGGACCTTCTCTCACTGGAGCTTCACCCTTTGGCCAGAGCTCGGCGAACCCTGGTTCGCGGTCTATGACGCCGCAGCAGCTGTATCTTCGATCTCAAGGCGGATTTGGCGATGCCCCCCCTGGTATAACCAGCCAAAGCAATGCTTTCCAGAATCAGGGTCAAAGCCAAGGTCAAGGCCACAACCGTCAGTCCTCTCGATTCAGCTTCGCCAACGACAACGCGAGCTCTTCTACCAACGTTAAGGTCGCAGCCAACCCGCGTATCATGGCCCAGCAATCCTCTATGATGCCCAACACGTTTCCGTCGCAGAGCAGCAATCAGTTTTACGGTGCCTCCATGCCTGGACCTCCTCCCGGTCTTAAGTCAACCGGCACTCCCCCTAGCATGTTCGGTCAGTTTGGTGGACAGGGCTTTGGCGCCCCCAAGGACAATTCGAGTGAGCTTCTTCAGAGTTTAATCGGCCGCGGTCGGGCTGGTAACAATCAGTCCCACGACGCGGGAAAGCGTGAGTTTATGATTCCTTCTTATTCAAACCAGTACCCACCATCCTCTACCTCCACCCCAGCTCCTTCTTCCGGGCTCCTGCCGCCTCTCTATGGTAATACACCTGGAGGGTACCAAGACATGGGCTCTAAGCAGAAGAAGAAGGGAAAGAAGCACAGACATGCTAACACTTCCTCCTCCGGGGGGAGTGGCTTAGTAGATCTTGCAGACCCGAGTATCTTGCAGGCGCGAATGCAGCACCAGTCTCAAGGCAGCGCCGGAGTCGGACAGGGCTTGTTTGGCGGTCAGAGTCAAGGTGGGTACAGTCATAACATGATGTATAATGCAGGCTATGGAAGGTGGTAGTTTTGATGTTTCTCGGAGTTGTTACAGTCTGGGAGGGTTATGTTTGGTATCCTCTCATCGGTATCGGCTTTTTCTTCTTCTTCATGCACAAAGGGGGGCGTTCTTCGGAAATCAGGGTCAGGGCGAGAAAAGTTGCCTTTCATCGTCCTCGGGGGACACGAGTGTCAAGCGCATCTTGATTCAGCAACCTTTGCGTGATTAATGCTGCTCTGGGAGGTCAGCTTTTGCATCAGGCGTCATCTATGTTTTATTGGGGAAAACGGAGGACGACGAGAGAATATCTCTAGTCTCCTTCCTCCGACTTTTACCGGTCTATGGATGACCGCGCATGGGGGTTCACGTCAGGCAAGCCATCATCGTCTTCCACAAGCCCCCTATGTATGTTAACAAATGTCGATTTCGTCCGCCTAGGTTTGGCGGTATCCTTGGTCAGAAATAGCAAGATCCTCTATTCTCTCCAAATCGCCTGTTCTTCTCGTTGTCCCCCGTGGAAGACGATGGTCGCCGTAGCATGACCCTGTCCCCAAAGTCTTGTATATAAATGGGGTGTTGCTCTCGTAGCGTAGTCTTTGTGTTTTGCTTTACATTCAGACCGAGTGACTGAACCTGTGCTAACAAGCGTTCAGATGATGAGCTCCCATCCCTGGACGAGGCTACGAATTCTGTCGACGCTCTAGTTTCTGACGACCCTATACTGCCGCCAATTGGTTTGGAAGGTCGCACATCTGTGCCCCCGGGCTTGTCATTACCACCAGGACTACCAGGCAGCATATCGAGACCTCCATCTACTCAAGGTCATGCAAAACTCACCAATATTGTGCCAGCGTTGCCTAGAATGCCACCCCCTGGACTCTCACAAGGTTCTTTAACGCCTGACCAGTCGCCTGCAAAGCTAAAGCCAGCGACACCTGTCTCGGAAGCAAAGAAGAACATCAAGTCTCTGGCGGCCGAAAGCGGACTCTCGCGGGAAATCACCACACAATCTCAACCGAAGCTTACAAAGGCAAGTTTCTTACAGGATGAGGACTTTCCGGCTTTGGATGCATCGAAGAACAAGAGTCGACCCGCAACGCCCACACCCAAGGCTACACCAAAGGCCAAACGCCATGCTGAGAGGATTGTGGACAGAATGATGGCCAAGGCTGGAGCCAACCTAGAGAGCACGGCTCAGGAAACCAAAGCGGAGGAGGCCAAGGTTCAAGAGACCAAAGCTCAAGAAGTCAAGGCTAAGGAGACCAAGGCCCAGGAAGCGAAACCTGCATCATTGTCCCAGGCAGCAGACAAGAAACCCATTGCTGTCAACACTCAGGTTGGAAAGAATGTGGCTGTGAGGACCAGTGAACTATCTGCGACAACTGAGAAGTCAACAACAGAGACCTCAGCAGCCTTTCCTCCCTTACCTACACCTTCGTCTGCCGCAATTGCATCCCCTGTCACACGCACAGCACCAAAGACATTGCGCGTCATTGCAACCCCCAAGGCTGAGGCACCCCCTCCTGCTTCTCCTGCCTTGACCATGGCATCGGTTGCGTTGTCAGGCACTTCTAGGGCTGTTTCCGGTACTTACAGGCCAGATACACCTGCCAGCGAGATGATTAGTGACAACGCCTCGGTTGTGTCTGCCTCTGTGACCCATTCTCGGGCAAGCTCGCCACCCCCCAGCAGGATTGGGTCTGCTGCGGTAAGAACCACAACCAAGAGTCAACAGCGAAAGCAACGAAAAGATGTTTTGAAGCAAGAAACAAAGTTGATCGCTGAGGCTCCCATTGCAGAGGCAGAGGTGCATGCTCCTATCATGGGACGGAAGAAGAAACAGAAGAAGGAAAAGCCTGTTAAGGCGGTCCAGCCTGATGCTTCTACTACCTCCGAGACTCCCACAGACAAGCCATCCCAGCCACCGTCTCAACAAGAGCCTGTCAAGGAGCCCGAAAGAGAGCCAGAAGAGAAGCTAGTCAAGAGCAAGACTTCTCAAAAGAAGTCAATCAAATCCAAGGGCAAAACAAAGGAGGTTGAGACTCAACCTTCTCCTCCGGCGTCTCCTAAGGAGTCTACCCCTGATGCCCAAGAGCCACCTGCAAGACCACAGCCTGATCCGGCGTCGGTTTTTTCTGAGATTAAGAACACTCTCTGGGCTTCAAGTGTCGATAAACTCCAGCTGTTTAAGCCCATCGCCAACGGCTCATCTCGCACCGATTACAGTGCTGCTAAGAACAACGCCAATAAGGCTGAGCATTGCAAAGACTGCTCTTGCAAATGTGGAGAAATTCAAGATGAGGATCTTGCAGCGCTGCGCGCAGGAAAGCCTGTCCGAAAGCAATTCCACGTTGATGGTAGCCGCATGCTCATTACTCCTAATGGTGACTGCGTACGTGGTCTGACCCCTGAGGAAGAAGACGCCTTTCTGGAACTTCAAGCTGCCATTGCCAACACGGCAGAGAACCCCGGATCGTTCGTTGCCCCTAGACATCAGCCTGGCAGTGGAGCATTCTCTCTCATCAAGGGCCGGGCTGTTCCCAATGGACGTCCCAACATCTTCCCCGCCACTGCCCAGCTCCAGTCTCAAGACCCCATCGGAAAGCTTCAGCGAGAGGACGCGCTTAGCTACATCAACCAGTACGTTCTCCCTCGCCTCAACCTAGGTGCTACGAACATGGGATTTCCCAAGGGAGCATCCCCTACTAAGGATGCGGCTGCTGCGAGTCTCAACTCTCTCGCACCCTACTTCTATGGCCCCGATGCCGCCGCCGGTGTTGGTATTTACAGCCCCCCTGATGGAGCACGGGCGATGCAGGACTTCAGCTCAGCTGGAATGTCGAGTGAAGAGCGTGGAAAGAACTTCGGCATGGGTGTCGGTGGTATGCCCTTGATGAGCGTCGAAGATGCAGAGGGCGCCCTTGCGGCTGCTCGACGAGAGACTGAGAAGTTGGAGAAGGGATTGAACCAGGTAATCAAGCGCAACAGACGACTTGTTCTTGGAGGAAACAACTAAGAGATAAGAACACCGCACCGCATTGTAACAACACGTTGTATTATGACCAGAGGAGTTGAGGACCTTCAATGGATGACCCACTGAAGCTGTATGATGTTATGAAGCAAAAATATCGCCACAGAACGACGGGTGGCTTTGTATGATAATCGATAGTATCAATATTGGACCAGTGTAACTAATGATAAGGATGAAAAGAATCCGCACTAAACAAAAGGAATTGCAGGTAATCTAGTCCTGCACAGGGTGGTTTGTCAAACTAGAGAGCAACATATGAGAGCCATAAATGAATCTTTCTCAAAAGCCATTTGTAGTGATTCTGTCCTACGGGTTACATGGACAGGTACTAACGTACGTATGCAGATATTCAAGAACTAACTTAGTAACCTATTTGGGTATCAAACATCTTCCTTCTTTCCATCTTTCTTCCTATGATATGTATCATCTGGCGACCGTCGACGATCTGCCCCAAGAGCTCTCCTTGCATCAGCCGTGACCTGTTTCTTCCCCTCGACAGATAAAGACTCCCGAAGCCTTTCAAGCAGTCTATCCAAAATCCACTCAGTCTCTTCTTGGCTCCCCATAAGCGGACTCCGATTGCCTACCCACGACCAAGCCGTTGTATCGTCAGAGACCACGTCCTTTTCAACACCCTCAGCAGTCTCGTTTGTTTTCTTGCGACGAGGGTGGTTGTGATGATGATGCCGACTGCTTGGCTGCGCTTTTCCATGTGTTTCGGCATTGCTTTCATCCTCGCCAATAAGCTTAAGATACCATGCCCACTGCTCAAAGGAGTATTTGTGTGGCTTTGATGACTTGAGGTGGTTCATGAGGACTTGGATTTCTGAAATGAGGAGGAAGTGGAGGTTTGTTCCTGTAGGCAACTCCTCATGGGCGTCTCGAAGGCGAGATAGAGAACGACGAACTCGAGCTGTGAAGGTTGAATTATTCCGGTCTTGGCCTGGTCGCGGATCTGCTGGGTCGTCATCTTCTCCAGTTTCTGAGCGCCTAGGTCGTCCGCGGGCGTATTCGTCAAGTTTGTCTTCTTCCTTCTTGGTCATCGAGTCTGAAGTATCAGTGCTCGAATTCTTCGAAGCTGGTTTCTTTTCCCGGTTTAGGGGTGGTGGCTCTGTGTAATTAGCATACATCAGACCGAAGGTACATCTGTTGATGATGTATTTGAGATCGCTCTTGAAGTTGTCCTCTCCTGGGAGAATAGTGACATTTCCAAGACGAAGCGTTCCATCACGAATTAGTTTGACAACGGTGTCTCCAGCGTTTGAAATAAGGACTGTCATGGTAGGCAGTGCAAGCAAAGACCAAAAGACGAAAAAGGACTTTCCAGCGTTCGAAATAGGAGTCACGTCGCCGTATCCGATTGTTGTGAGACTGACGAAGCAGAAGTAGAAGCCATCAAAGTACTTCCACCCTTGATAGTCTTCTTCACACTTAACAAAGATATAGGCGCCCAAGAGCCACAGAATAAGCCATACGCCGGTTGAGATACCCATGGCGACCCAGCGACGACGATATGATGTTTGAGCTTGGATCTTACGCATAAGATCGAATTCTGCCTTTCGACGCTCATATTCTGTCGCTGGTAGCTGATTGCTTGATTGTGCACCCTGGGAAACCATAGAGTCTTGTCGTCGTGGCTCTCGAATTGGCTCGAGTACCTCATCCTGGCCCTTCTTGGTCATGGTTCGGACAATACGTCGGCGTTTCTTCTCTTCCATTCTGGCATCAACTTGTTTCTTGCCTCGCTCCAGGACAAGACTGCGGATAGAACCGATGACCAAACCGAGACTGATGACACCGACCAGAGCATATGGCATCATGAGAGCTCGTCCGAGATTTGTTTGAGCTGTGAAATCACCGAAACCGACGGTAAACAGAGTTACATCTGCCCAGTATACGGTGTCGAGATAGTTCCAGTTTTCGATATTGGAAAACACAACGGCCCCAACTAGTAAGTACAAGAGAAACATGATGGTCTGCAACATGAGAGTCCGTTGGCTGGGCGTCAAGTTAAAGTCGTTAGGATAATGGCCAACCGATGCTCCATAGAATGTTATAACCATAAGAGAAGCATCGACAAAGTAGAGAATGGCAGCCCATATGCCGTAGTAAAAGGCCTGAGACCATATGAGCTCATCCTTGGGGTGACCAAAGCCTTCATAGAGCGGTCCAGAGGCTGTGGCTAGAAGGGCAATGAGCAGAATAGCAGAGATGTACCATCCGATGATAGTGAGCGGCTGAGCGATAGTAAAGCGTACACGGCGTGTCATGTTTAGTAGGAGGAAAATATTTGATATGATGGCCATGCCAAGCTGGATAGCGTTTATGACGGTGAGCCATATTGGGTCAGCGACAAAATCTGCCTCCTTGAGAGGCTGTTTGGGAATGTAGTGCTGTCTCCATGGGCGTACGAGAGCGCAGATACTGAAGGCTGAGGCAACTGGACCGAGGGTGCCGGCGATCATGGGGAATGCTGAGGAAGCAAACCACCAGCGGCTGAATAGTCAGAGATGAGTATAGATGGTGTGATGGAGGTGAGGTGAGGTGAGGCGAGGTGAAGTGAAGCTTACTTTGGAGCCAGATGAGCATCATCGTTTCCTATACGTCTGTCATGAGAGACAGACTCTTCAATAATGTCAGTCTCCTGTTGAATATTATCTCCAAGATCCCCGTCGTCCATGAGGATATCTCAAGCCTATGGCGATCCAATGTCAAGGATAGAATCGACAACAAGGTAGCATATCCTAGATAGTTAGTAGATAAGATAATCAGTTTCTGCAGTGTAAGTCAAGACTTATATATGTCTTGGCGGGAAGAAGGGATCCATTTCGATTTAAGGAGGATAATCAAAAGAAAGAATTCTTGGCGTGGGGATAAACATGCACATGCCCGTTGGAATGACGTCGGGCGAGATCAGATCTTTAGTTGGAGCGAAACAAACGGGTTTTGATCACGAGCTAAACCAACTTTGCGAGACTTGCATGGCCTGTCAGAGACAAGGGATATCATTCCTCGGGGGTTGAGTTGGTGGTGATCTAGCGGCTACAGCGGCTCAAATCAGGGGAACCAATGCAGGATCTAAGGAAAAGACGGCATCTGACTGCGTTAGTGGTCACTCAAGGTTTATCGATCCGATCATTGTCCCCCCCAACGTTCGTGAGTTTTGTTTGTGCTACCAGTAAATATTCAGCTCCTCTCGAACGATGAATGTTATTGCCGGATCGTCATTTGTGGGGTGAGCATGGTCTAGCCAATGATATTAAAGAATTATGCAACGTTCAAATTCCACTGCAGCCAAAACAAGCCCTTCCTCATCTCATGCATTGTTTAAGAGCTCTTGATATTGGTCTTTGACAGGATATCTTGTGCTTCTCTTTAGTTGGTGCTTCATATTTGATTGCAGCCTCATGGAATCCGGGTTTTGTTAGTTGAATTGGTATATTGCCCACGAAATAATCGACCTTTGAAAACACGCGTCTTCTCGTCTTCACACATCGCAGAGCATGTAAGTCAAATAAACAATTGTCTCTCGACATCCATTGACTAATCTTGTTGAAGTTTTAGAACAAAAAAAGTCGTCACTTACCATATGGATTGGTAATGCTGTAGCAGCATGCAAAGATGTCTCCATTTCCAAGCCCTTCATCGTGCTACTCGTAATCGACTCGCCGATGCTCTCCAAAGACCATGGCAGCGACTCTATAGCATCCGGAGCCATGACCGTGTCCAAGTCCGATGTGGTTCAGCTGGCCATGTGAGCATTGAGTAAGCCATCACCTCATACTCATGAACCCATTACTAATGCTTCATAATAGCCTCATCAACATTACCGAGCAGCCAGACTCTCCACTCTTCATTCAACTCCCAGCTGCACCCGCGGATGGCAATCAACCTCCTCATATACCTAGATTTCTCCAAGGCAAGCCACTTGCCAGCATCAACTATCGTTGGAACTCCTTTGACGATGAGTTGAGCGAAACTGCTCCAGTCGACGATGTCTGGCCAACGCCAATCCACGATACCTTCTTCGCCTATCAGTGGATAGTCGAAAATCTTGCTCCCGAAGGTCTCAAGAGGCGCGGTATCTATGTCTATGGCTCTCATCTAGGCGCAAGTCTCGCCTCATCTCTGGCACTCTCGGAATCACGACCGCACAAACCATTTGCAGTCCGGGGTCTGGTGGCATATAATGGAATCTACAATTGGACCATGTTTTTCCCGGACCACCCAGCAAATCTCGGAAAGTTTGCAAATAACAGAACCAACTACTTCAGACCTCGAGAGGGAACATACGTGCATTACCTTCAGCAGAACCTACCGATATTCTTCCAGTCAACGGTCGACATGTTCGATGTCTTCGCCAGCCCAAGCCTCTTCTTCCACAACCCAGGACTAAAAGTTCCCTCGTCTTACCACATGTCGGAAGAAGAGTCTGCAGCCATCGAAGTCCTGACCAACCCGAATGCCGAGTTCAATGTGAAAGAAAAGACACCACGTATGTCAAGGCTGGTGTTTCCACCCCGCAAATCGACGCTAAAGATCCCCGAGACACTTTTGCTGTACGACACACTTCCTGTACCGACAGCGACGAACAGCACGGGCCGGCCATTTAGTGGGAAACAGTGGGGGAACAGCTTAGAGCTGCAAGCGCGCGAACTGGGCGAGATGATGCAGCGAAGTATCCGGATGGTCGAGCTGAAGGAGAGAGGATTCTGGGATGCGGATGTTTCGATGTGGGAGAATGAGCCACGGCGAAGAGTAAAGATGGAACATGCTGGGGAAGAGTCGGAGGATATGGTGATGGAAGAAAAGGGAGAGAAGGTCGTGGAAGAGTGGTTAACAGAGAGACTATCACCATAGAATCGATCTCATGATCATGTAGGTAGCAATACATAATAGACATGTACAGTACATCCAATACATGCAGCAATACCTACCTAGTTCGAATGTTGGTTGATAAAGAGGTGACCTATTTTGGGGTAGCA